TTGAGTTCCAAACATGATGTCGCAGTTAACATGCGATGTTAGTTTATTGTGATAATACTGTTAACAGTTTGTCTATACAAATAATTACATTCTTTATAATAATCATTTTAGTACGACAACAATAATTTTCGCTTGTTTTTTAACTATAATATATTCTTTTGCTTAAAAATAAAACTGTTATTGTCATCACATAGCTATTATTATCTGCTACCAATTGATGATTAAAGGGACAGATTTTCTATCCGTTTGACGAAACGTTCTTAGTCGAGCTGAGTAATAGTGATCAAAGTTCACCGTCGAGCTAATGAGTAATAGTGATCAAAGTTCACCATCGAGCTAATGAGTAATAGTGATCAAAGTTCACCGTCGAGCTAATGAGTAATAGTGATCAAAGTTCACCGTCGAGCTAATAAGTAATAGTGATCAAAGTTCACCATCGAGCTAATGAGTAATGGTGATCAAAGTTCACCGTCGAAATTTGAACCTTCAAATCAATTTGTGTCCAGAATTATCCGCGTCTGAAATTAAAATGACACTCGCCTTTTCTAGAAACTCTGCCATATAGAGAAAAGACATATATAGATATAGAAAGGGAAATGCCTAGATATTTTTGAAGGAATTACACGATATTCTCCTGAAGACTAATTGCATATATTCAGCACTGAAATTAACCACCGAAAATAGAGAACCCGTCCTTTAACACATGTTTTAGGATTTAGCCCCTGATGGCAGATATTTACTCGACTACAAAACTTGAAAGCAGATTTTGATTGTCACAGATTCCAAAAGATCAGATAGACTATAAAGCCTGTTAAAACACGATCCACAGATGGATTATATTTCCAGTCGTTCCAACAGGATATCTCCCCATTTACGTTAATTAGTTAGTGCAATAATTCGTATTCGATTCTGTTTTGAATTTTTCCTTTCGATTCCAGTTGACATCAAGAAGACACAATTCCAATAAAATTGTCATTAGAAACACTGCTTTTATCATACTATTTTGTTGAATTCAAGACAAGCCATTAGTACTTTATTTCAACTTGTCTCTTAATTTCTAATTTAAATTTAGTTCCTTAGCGTTAAAACATTTATCTGAAGAAATTTAGAATTTAATAGAATTTTCCAACTGGGGGTAATTTTCTCTGAAATGGTAATTTAAAGAAAGATTTTGTTTTCGATTATGTTGCGCTGGAAGCCCTAGTGTGATGACTACAAATAAATCTTGGAAACAAGGATTAGATCAATGACTTTCTTTATACCCACATACATAAATTATTATGAAATACAAGGATTTTTTCCTGACGCGGAATTCAAATAAAGAGTGGATATTCTTATATTATTTTCCATGCTTTACTATATGTATGCATTTTCTTCCCTTCATGTAATACCTTAATCGTTGAACGGGATATTCAGCTTCACTTCAAGATTACGACATAAGACACGAATTTGGACAGACTTGGACTCAATATAGCTTAAAGCTGAACATAGATCGACTAGACTCGGTCGAACTCTTTTTAACTTTAAGCTTGGGAGACTGATTGGGCAGGGGTTGATGAAGTAGCTTATCAATATGCTTTCGGTAGCGACCCCAAAAATTTGGATGAGACAGAAGAATAAGTGCTGACAGTGCTCCGCAAGGAGCTTTAAAATCTGTTCTTGCAAAAAAGGTAACTTGGTTGAGCGTTTGGATTAACATGTATTTTGGATATTTTTTTTAATCATAACGTTTGTATATTTGTAACAATATCAAGGAATAGCTTATTCTATCGAGAAAAAACGAAGCATTCAGAAAGAATATGAAACACAATATGGATCAATTCGACCTAGACATCTGAATAATTAGATTCAATCTTCAAGAACAAAAACTCATAATTGAGAACATAATGTTTTCCACGAAGGACAGTCTGATGTGAAGTTATTCAACACATTCTTTTCTAATAAAACAATAATTGGTGTTTATCCCAGGCTTCTCAAAAACTGTTACGAAGGTTTTTTGTTGTTAAAACCATCGACGTTTAGAGGCTGCCAATTTTGGCATTGATAATGAAATTTTGTCGGAAGATGTTTTAAGAACCCACTGCCTGGTAAATGACATCTTATAGCTTTGAAGTATGTTTGGGATAAGAGTTACATCTACACGTCTGTAAAGGAGAGATACATGCGACCGCTGAAATAGGTTTCACTCTTCCCCAATAAAACAACCAAATTACAATAAGATTCGAACGACATTTAAAAGGGAGGAGAACATATATAACACAGGACAGTAATTATGGGATAAAACACACTTGTTTAATACATGGGTACATTAACCTTTCAACACAAGTTGCACGACGTCGTGTCGTCATCAGATTAAATTAAAGAAATGTGTTTTATCCCATAATTATTGTCGTATTTATATAAGCGATTTACTGTTCCTGAGGTTTTTCAAAAAAGAAAATAAAATAGGGGGGAATGGCTAAACGTTGTTGCCATCTTTTGGTTAAATGGTTAAAGATGAGTTTTTGAAATCGAAGAGATTTTCCTATTCCACATTGCTAATCTTGTGTATTTTCGTTGCAAGGTCGTCATATAGTATTTAGCAAGGCATCTGCACTCTGTGATCTGTTCATATACAAATGTTCTGTTAGATGTACCACCGAACCACAAGTTGGACATGTTGGACCTTAAAAGATAGAGAATGCTAGTTTATTAACACCAACCAATAAAAAAATCACCCAAACTACAGGCAATAAAATATTATTAAAGTATTAAATTCCACTTCGGCATGCGATATGAAAAGGGATATTTTCACTTAGTTTTGTGAAAATCAGTGAAGACTAAGCTGTAACCTTCATTGTTTTCAAAGCACTTATTACGAAAAGTAATTGTTCCAAAACTTTCAACAACTTCTCTATTACTTCTCAAATACCTACATCACGTCTTATGAAAATGTTTGCCGACAATGCGCGTCCATAGAGAGATATGTGGGCGTATATCTACAATAGACCAACAGAGAATAATCTTTGTGTTACTCTTTGAATCATGTCACGTATCAAGATCACTAAGATCATGCCATATCATTAAGGTCATCCAGTGGTTACAGCTGATCACTCACAATTATAATATAAAGTGTATGCTGTATGCATATGGATAACATTCTTTGCTATATTGGGCTACCTTTTCTACGGATTACGTCAGAGGCATTATTTAAAGTAAAGGTTTTCAGCATTGGGGTAATAAGATCTCCAATGGGAAAATTTTGGGAAAGTAATGAGGCGCTTTGTAGTCTACCATAAAAATTTTGGACAGTTATAATTGAGGAGGTTCTATTTAGTAAGGCTATATTCTCTGACATGAAAAAAGACGACAGGAAAACTTAAAAAAAGGAAATAATAAGGATTTATAGAGGGAAGGGGAGTCTGATACAATCGATCAAGGATCCTGAAAGGGGTAATACAGAGAAACAGTTTGAAAACCCCTGATTTAAATCATCTCCTATATGTTACGACATGCATATTCATTTGAATGTCAAATAGGCCTATCAATTACAGTGGTTCAAATTCTCGTCTCCAATACCTATTCTAAAGTGTTCATTTGCGTCAACGTTTTTACATGTGCCAGCTATTTATCATACGTATTATGTAAGCTCATTAATGCTTGAAAGTCGAGACAGACCAAGGCATTGCGCAACATGGTTGTATCGTGATGTGTCATTAAAGTATCCATTGTTTATTATCAAAACAAAATTAAAAGGTCTACAAAACAGGGCATCATATTATATTCGATCTTATTCGACCTTAAGGCCATCTCGTGTGTCTGCATCCGCCAAAAACCTAAATCATCTTAATGTAGGTTCTCTGTCGACACAACAAATTTCTTTCGTGTTACTCTTTTGCAAGTAACCTTAACATAAAATTTGTGACCGAGATAATACATATGCAAGAAGTCACATGATTTACAATCCAGCTAATCAATACGCTTGCACGTCGGTAATTTTACAATTTGTTTTGTTTATATGCACACACGCACGCACGAATTTTATATACATAATATAAATATGGTCGTTTTGGTAGGTAAATTTGACCACTATTTGCATTTAAAATCGGTTTATGAATATAGGGCGTGGTTTTAAAAACGATGGGTGTAGCCTTTTTGAAGTAGGAGAATGTCGAATTATTAATGTCTTTCTTATTCTTGAACTCTTGTGTATCCGAGGGCACCAGTTTCAATTTGTGAAGGTTTCGGTCAATATATAAAAAGGTCACTGAAATAGGCCTACTTAATCTTTAGTATAATAAGGAGAATTTAAATATTCTAGTCGGCTACAACCATAATCACAAATCTAATCAAATGAAATGAGAAACACCATTAATGATTGGTTTGAACACATCAAAAACAAATGAAGAATGCATGTCTTCATTAATTTGTCATAAAATCATTCAGTACCCCGAGCTTACAAATCATTACGGTTGTCACGAACGCAACATTTAATGCTTTTTAATCTAAAGCAGGTTTTCCTTTCAAACCAAAAACGTATGAGAAATAAAATAATATTGGCGTTCGAATCACTTGGGATTGCAGTGACATTTACTAGTACAATTTCTATTACTTTATTTTCAACTTAAAGTCCCCATGGACTGTAATTTAAAACGTTACGAATACAAATTGGAACAATGAAGTTGGTTTAATCGCGGATTCTGAGACATCAATTCGCGTTATTTAATCTCAGTTTCCTCGCAAAGTTAAACAGATCAAAGTTCTAACTAAAGTCGCAAATAGGCGATGCCTGATGCGGTGTAAGAAAGAACAGATAAACACACGACGTACGGGTTCGTACACGATTCGCTTCTACTTATTTCTACTATATCGATCATTCAGAATCGTACACTGTGCATCGTTTATTCCGCACCTTAATTCCTATTCTGCCTAGTAAGTAGCAATTGATTTTAACTATCAGACGAATTTAGTTTACTTAAAGTTTCGAAAGAGGATTTTTTGTTTCTATGTTATCAGGGGCACTATACCATTTGGATTTCGATTCCCATGGTTTCTGTAATATTTGGAATATCAGTATAACATCAGTCTGTCTTAGTAAAAATCATTTTGGTCGGAATGGTTTAAATATAGACTATAAAAGTCGCCATACACTGAGAATTTTTAAACGAAATAGACTATATTTCTTTGCAAGTGGGAACATCTGTCATAATCATTTCCGATTCCATCGCTCTCACCTGGATTTGAAAGGAGACTGTGTCTTGATGATCGAAGGGAAGCCAAGGACAGTGATGAATGCATTGTAGAAAAGGCACCAATCTCGTCTGTTTCCAAAAGAGAAGTCGGAGTTATCCAGTTATTCTGTGGATCTATTTTAATGAGACGAGGTTTTCCAGGCTCAATGTTCTGAGATTTCATGTATTGTACACACTGGGTTGATAATGCTGCCAATGCTTCCTGAACCTATAATGATATTTATGATAGTTTAAACTAAAATATTCCACCTGGTGAAAAGGCGAGGCGTCAATTGCCACCTATACCTAGCAAATTTTCCCAATGGTGTACTTAAGTAACTGGTAGTCAAGTTGTTAGAAGTTTGGACTTGAATTTTTCTAGTTACTATAACTTGGACCTTCAGTCATCCCGGAATCCAATATCTTACACTTTGCGACCGAAAACGTATGAGAACAGTCGTTCACGTTACGATTCTTTCGCCAATGTCCACTAACTAGAAAAAGGATAATTCTATATATTTTTGATTTGTAATGCGTTCCCCTCTACGCCAAAGATCTCTTTTTTTCTGAAAAGAATAGGTTTTTCAGATTTAAAGTACAGTCTTTCAGATAATGCTGCTGTACATCCTGTCCCATTTTTCGCCGACATAGAAGCTATATCAATCTTACCACTTTCACACTACTACCAAGAGGTGAAGAATCACGCCGTAAAGCAGCAAAATATGTATTGCTTCTGACTGCCTTTAGTTTGTTATGCTTGTCTCTTAGAGGTGAGTTTAAATCTACATGAAACTGTTCCTGAAAATATTGAGGTTACCAGAATTACGTCCGTTCCGATGCAATGCCTATCTACCCTTTTGATTTGATTAATTCTCGTCCAGATTCTGAAAGGAATTTTTGTTCCTAAACTTGTTTCCCTGTGTTTCTGTACCCATATCCAATATTTTCATCATTCTGTACTACGGTATCAAGAATCAAGATGCTAAATCAGGACGCCTACTGTTTCACCGTTGTTAAATGATTTCAATATTTTGCTTAGTGCGAAACTTTTCACATTGGGCACTGTCATCATATTCTTATAACATGCAAGCTTCTTTGTACAACCTAATTTCATTTCACAGCATTTGTCATTGAACTAGGAGTACCCACGTGCTATTTAGGAACTCCTCTCTGTTTAAAACGCAGGCTTACCATTATTGTGAAGTCTGCTGGTCCTACACCAATGAAGAGTACGGATAAAGGGAGCGAACTAGCTTCTATAAGCTTTTCTATAGTTGAATCAATGTCGTTTATCACTCCATCCTGCAATTAAAGTCACATAAGCGATGAATGGCAATATGAATACATCAGCGAACATGCACCACTGAATGATCTGGCAAAGCGTAGCATCTCGATGAGCCGGGATTTCAAATAGCTGATCTATAAGAGAAAGCAAGGAACGCTGTGACCTATCTTGGCGAGGTAAAGTTGACCAGGTTATGGGAACATATTTGGAATTTACCAAATAAGTCTTGGACATCGTCCACATGCAAATCCTTAATTTTGGTTCAAAAGTGCAATGACAGAAACATAGCAGACGTCTATTTGACAATACTTGGTCTCTTGGTGTGGAAACCTGTTTCGAATAAAACCGGTTTCAGATAACCTAATTCGTACCACTGGGTTGAAATAGCTGTTAATTTTCCAATAATTGGCTTGAGGAAGGATAAGAACTCACTGTAATGGTGTCAAAAATGTATACTTACTGTTATTATCAAAAGAGCGTAATATTTCTGATTGTTTTGGTTGATGTTTTTATCTATAAGTTGAAGAACTCTGTCTATTGTTGGAGTCAGATAAGTTGGTCCCGAGAACACAAGCGTTGGTATGATACTTTTATACACATTTATGACCTCCTTAAAATATGAAAGATAAATACATTTTTAATTGAAGCTTAAGAACTGCAACTGTCAAGTTGTAACCTTTTTGATATAGTAACAATAAGAGTTTCCGCTCATGATTTTCTAAGTTTTTCCTTAGTTATGTAACATCATTAAATTTATTAGGTCAAAATTGTTCTCAACAATGAATTTAATGTTAGCAAAATATTACAAAATTGCTCAATGGTCAAGTCGATTAAGGAACTTACTCGAATGCCTTTAATCCATATATCAGTGCCTTGGTCTGCCAATGAAAAACAGTGGGACGGTTTTTTAGATGACGATTTCTTAGCACCAAAACCTAAGACACAAATTCTCTGCTCTACATCATATCTAGCTATCATTGCACCTAAACTTTCTATTGCATTTAAATATTGGTTACTCTGAAATATACAAAGACGAATATTATAGAATAGACAAGATACAGAGCCCGATGTGGGGTCGTCGTTACAGTAATAATAGAAGGGCCAATCGGGTCCACAACATGTACGGACCAGTTCCTCTTATATTCGCCTCTTTTATTTTCTAATGTATCGACAACCCTCCACGCACGCCAGACTCCATGCATCCACTTCATGTCAATGCTGTGAAGACTTATCAGCCAGGAGAGATAAAAAAAAAAGATTTCCAAATCATGCTGAATTGTGTCCCATTTTAACAATTTAATAGTGTTGTAATAAAGTAGTGGATTTTGCCATGTCTAAGAAAAAAGATAATATTAAAGTGGGATAATATTAACCAAATGTATATTGTGAGGATGCAACATAAAGAGAAAGACAGTGCGACATAGAGAAAAAGCCAGTACATTTTACATGGAGCAACGAGGACAAAGCGTCAATCAACACCGTCATTACCTTTACAATTACAGTTGTTATACAAAAGAAACTTACCCGTAAATCTGTGGTATTGTGAAGTGATAATGAATCCGATATATTGCCATTGGAAGCCTGAAAAGAAATTATCAGATATCGATATAAAGCTCAAGACTTGTAAATCACCCAGTATCCTATTGGGTGTGTTTTATATGCTTAATTTCCTCGAGTATGACTATGATTTCTTAAAGAATTATATGCAAAAATGTACTGGTACTTACTATAGAAAGGCATTGATTGCGGTAGCTTGAGATGAGGCTATTTCTTACAAATTAATAGCTAGAAAGCCCATTTGTGGAAATGATCAGGGCAAGTTAGAATTTCATTTTTTTAATATAAGCACTAATTAAATGATCAAACTGGATTATGAACATAGACTATGCGTTTCTGTTGATGTTGCGGATAAAATTATACTTCTTACCGTAAAATCTAAAGCTAAGACCAGTCTGAGTTGACAACCTCCTCTGATATAATCCAATAAAGAATAATTCATCTCGACTCTATATTGATAGAACCTTAAACTTCCTGAATGTACCTCCTTCTTTCCTTTGGCTTGTTTCTTTGGACAAATCAGATGTACTGAAGCATAATGACCATCCCTGTAACATGAAATATAATCCTTGGTATATGGTTAGAAACAAATCATCAAGAAGCAGTATAAGGTATTTCAGTCAAAGACGAATTTTGGAGACTAATCTCAAAATGTCATTTGTGTACATTTCCAGCATCACGTTGAAAGTCAGCAAGACTTGCTCATCAAGATAAAACTGTTTTGGCATCACAATATGCCATATAATTATGGTGGTACTAAATTCCAACTTGTGTAGGGTGTGTTTCTTACAGACCTAGAACCTTGTGGTAAAAGTTTGGTTGACTAACTTATTAATGTACAAGGTCTTTGGTCATATGATTGTTCAACTTTAAATGAAAAAATAAGCATACCTTTTCATATGGACCAATTCAGATAAAGTTGTAGTGTAACAGCCTATCATTTTATACGTTGTCTTGACATCTCCACTAAAAATTATTGAAATAAAATACAAAATATGTCTATAAATCGGAAATTCCTGATAAAATTTTTTACACGTTGCCAATAAGATCGTAGTTTCGGTTACACTTTTTTACCTAGACAACATTTGCTAAGAACACATTTTATCTTAATTTGATCTCTTTTACATTTGAATGAGGTCATATGAAGCACATTTTTGTTATTTTTGACTCAGACAAAATCACTTATATGATTGTGCAAATTGAGTTTAAAACAACAAAGATACAATTGCGTCTTATTCCTCAAAACATTAACTCGTCGAGGACAGTGTGTAGGAATAATAACTTAGATACAGATTTCCACCTACCCATAAGATGTATGCCAACATGAAAACTGTAGTCTTCTATTCCAATCGTTGTTGCATAGTTTCTGTACACTTAGTTCTATTGGTCTCCAACTGTTATTAGGTAAAATTTATATATCAATATTCAGAGGACTTCAGGGTTATTTTCATAAAAACTGTCAAGCCTCTTGTTAGATTTCGCCCATTATGCAGACCATACCAATGTAAAGCTATGGACATGTAAACTTATAGTATTCGCCAATTCGCATTGCACGTAAATATTCATACTATTATCTAAAAGTGGAGTGAAAACTGAAAGGTATGGTGATCAACTGGCATCCCAATCTGGATAAATGACTTAGAAATCGGCTTTATTCCAATATCTTGCGATATCTGAGCGAACTCACTGAAAGCTAAATACAGAAAATGTAACATGCAATAAAAACTCACTTCGGATTTCTGGACTTATATATTACCTCCGTTCTAAACACAGGTTGGAATTTTATGCTGTTTATTTCTCGACCTATTTCTAAGTAACAATCAGGCTGAAAACAACAGCAAAAAGCAGTTTAATGAAGATTTCGGGCCATTTTAAAAGACACCTGTATCTGTTGTTGTAACCATCTTTTAACGGCACAATGCATTGTAAAAGCTAATCAGATGATTTGATGATGATGATGTTATTTGGAGCAGTTTTAGGATTGATATACTTCCTCATGTGAAAAGTCCATTAACTGCTACTCATGTTTCGCCAATATGTTGTTTGGAATTCGGGTCATGTAGTCAAGGCGTCAGTCTACGATATCTTTTCACATTTGGTACCTTTAGCTAATTTAAGATCATCATACTGGTACGACCACAACGGCTATATAATTTTGATCTTGATATTGCTGTTCTGCTATGATCCATTAATGGCTATATTTTAGTGGACTTCTACCAACTAAAAATCATAAACAGATAAAAATAGTAATCTATCATTCGTTCAAATTTAAACTCACGTGTCGATTAGCAAGCATTCCCCGTTTATCCAGATGATGTCCTTGTATGTGTAGTTGTGCTTTATTCTGGCATTCTTTAACCAGTTCTGTGGATATGGTAAGAAAACCTCTTGACTTTGGATCACCTACAAGTCAAAAGATTCACTACCATCAGACACTCTGTTCGAGAAGCTCAAAATGTAGATGGAATGAGGTTTCATTTCTGTACTAAATTATCAAATCCCAATGCTAGCTATAGAGGACAAGGAACTTGCTTTAGAATTAGATTGTGCTTGGCTGTAATGGAGAATATTTTTAAGTATGTATAAGTCTCCTCGGGTAATGTGAGTATGCAAATGATTTTTTCAAGTGTTACCTACCGTGCATTCTTATGGTTCTAGTAACAGAATGTACTGTTATAGAGAGATCTATCAATGATTCTAAATCAATCTCAACATTGCCAACATGATCGTGATGACGTAAGTCTGTGGAACTAAAAAAACAAGCGCAATATTCGGTTATGAACAGAAAAAAAAGTGTTTAGCTCCGACGATCTGATTCTTGGGGAATTTGCAAACACCCTTCATATATAAGATATTGTAATGTGGTCATTTTTGTTTTTATTTTGTTCATTATAACATAACATTTGTATATCTTGATATCACGTTATTTTCATTATGTGATGACGCTAGATGATATTGTTTTTATTGTATATTTGTAACATGATATTGTTTACAATACTTACCGATTATCTATATCATAGATAGAAAATAATAGTTGTTGTTTAATGCCGGGTTCTATATCCAGTACAAATGAATCGGTAAACTGAAATGAAAATTATGTCTTTATCAAGATCTCGAGAATTCGACATTCAGAATCATCACTTATCATGTTTGTGGCAATGCTATCTGGTCTACAAACTGAAACGAGGGATAGGATGACCTACGTTACGGTTCCTTATGTTCCGAGCTACGTTTTATGAGGGCTGCAACCTGCAATCATTATTTCCTAATTAAAATTATTTGATTTAAGATTGTGGGGGAGGGGACAAATAACAAATCTGCCAATTCAGTTAGTAGATATAAATTTAATAAATATTGGTATAAACTGGTTTGGGATAAGTTACAATAATGAATGGACTACTGCTGGTATGTATTGCTTCTCATGCTCAAAGCTGCAGCAGATAGCAGCCCATCTTGTGCAGTAGAATACAAATGTCTTATTGTGCCATAATTCGTGTGAACAGTAGCAATTCTTACCCTTGGATTCAAAGATTCTCGAATAGCTTCAGTTCGACCAAATTCTTTCCATTGGCCAAATTGTTTCATAGAGAGGACACAAATAGGATCAGTCTTCGTGAATAGGTCGAGATCCACCAGATCTTCACAAGATATCATTAATTCTACCTTACTACCACGTAATGCTTGAAATACTGAATCCATTGTTAGATTGTATCACTAAAATAGCTATATACAAACTGGATTTGATATCTGAAAATATATATTAAAAGTATAACATTGTAGTTACGTATAACGTAGTTCAAAATAACGGTCATTAGCTCTGAAACGAATATTGAATTGACAAACCTGGTAGAAGAGAGGTCTCAGGTGTTCTGCAGGTCTAAGTATGATTCGCTTGCGCCATACGCCACATTAAACGTCAATTTCTTCCCTACCAATGAGCACGAACATTTTTTGTAATATTATTTGGTAGGCCTATTATAGATTATGTACAGAAACGTATCTAATATTTGATTTGCAATTTGATCTCTTTCAGTAGGTAATTATTGTTTCATTTGAAAACCATGGTCAATAAACAACCCATATTACTACTATTAGATTAAATATTTATTGAAGATTTGAAGTATGTCTGTACAGGACAAAGCCTGTGACATGGTATGGAAACCCACTAGAGACACATTGACAAGTGTGGAAAAAAACAACATCAGAGTTCTTGCCAGACTTGCTTCAAATAACCAAAGCCGTAAGATTTCCCACTGTACATTGGTCTTTGTTTTTTTGATAACATTGTTAAGTTATTTTAGGTTTTATTTAAGCACATAGATTCATTTGTCAATAAGCTGTTCAATTGTTTCAAAATGTTTATGAACAGTCTTATTTTAAACTTTTATTGCCTTATTTGTATACGCAGTGGTATTATAAAACGGACCATTATTTTTCACCCTTACAACCGTGAACGAAGTCGATTTGAAACACATGAGTGTTAAAGATGTTCCATAGATGGACCACCTTTCCCACTTGTAACGTCATCATCCCTGAGCGGCATAGAGTTGAAACACATGATCGCAAACTGAGTGTGAGAGATGTTCAAGAAAGGCTAGTGGTAATTTATTCATACTACGACCAGAGGCTAAGCTTAGAACGAAGGGTATACATCTTTTCAATGCCATGTACTGGAAAACAAATAGAAAAATTCTTACCGTAATGTGGTTTATAGAGTGAAAGGTTGTTAAGGTCTCGAGATCACTGAAAGGAATATAGCCCCATGACGATAACCGTTGTTCTGGTTGATTGATTGGTGTTATGTTAAAGTATTCTAACTAGACTAGTGATTGAATGAATAGGATTAACATCGTAGTTAAAGAAGCTCGCCCACATTATATATTTGGCGAGGGATTGTTTATAGTGCTTCATCCTTATTACATTTATGCAGAAGAGTAGGACGTAAAACTCCATTCATTTCATTTCTTATTACATTTATGTGAATTAAATATGGTGAGGATATGTTCTTATTATAAAGGGATTCAAAAGTTGTTTTTTTCATTTGTACGATTCCGTTTTATTGTTAAAGGGACAAATTCGCCATTTTTGGGGTTGAACTTGGTTCTTGCATACATTTAAATAGTTAAAATTCATTCCAGAAATGTACGAAAATACCATAATTCCTTCAAAAATATCTCAAACTATGAATTGCACTAAGAATTGCACTTTCTATTCCTATAAAAGTCTTTCCTATATATAGGTCTAAAGAAATGACGAGTCGTCATTTTGAAATTTAAACGCTTTCTCACCAAGTTAGTTGATCAAACCTTTATCAACGGTAAAGGACAAACAAAAACTCACCCGGAAAAGATTTATTGCCACTGTATTAAACTGTATTAAATGTTCATAAATTATTCATAAGTTAGTTAAAATTGAAAAGTTTTTGCATCTGTTTTAGCTCTCAATTCTTAACAATATTGATAAAAATCAGATGAACAGATTTAGTCAAAAGGCTAGAAAGCCTTTTTACAATCCTTAAAATAGTTCACGAAACATGTATTTATAATCGACTTTAATTGAATCTCCTACAGATGGTCGACCGAGCGTAACTAATCCACAATACCTTCAATAGAAAGTGACTTAATAAATCAGGAGAGCCGAATTACGTCAAAGTTATCAAAGTGAGGAATGTGGTATAACATTTATTTTATCCTGAGTGAATCAAGACTGATCTAATAAGTAGTATAATATCAGGAAAGTACACAGATGAAGCTAGTTACCCCCCACTAGAAAGAAGAAACTGCCAGGGTAAAGAACTACAGCAGAAGACGAGATCTCTACAGAACAAGAAGAACTACAGACGAAGGTCTCTACAGAAGAAGAAGAACTACTGAAGAAGAACTCTACAGAAGAAGATCTCTACACAACAAGAAGATCTCTACACAACAAGACAAACTTCATAAGAAGAACTTACTCTACAGAACAACAAAGTATCGAAACAAAAAAGAAGTCATTGGAACACGTCGCTCTTTACTCAACATCTGCGATATGTTTCTTTTCAATAAGTTTTCCAACGAAACGGACATCATCCTTACCAAGAAGAGTAAATTACGAGATGTGAATTGTAATCCTTAAACAAATTTTTTCTGGAACATTATGACTGCAATCTGGCCCATCTGACAAAAAAACTTCAGTTCATTTTCCACGGATCTGATTTGACCATCAAAATCTATGTGGGGCAATGTCTTTGGTTGTGGATCACGTACTAGTTTATTGTATTCGTATATAATTCACTTGGAAACAAAGTAAATAGTCCCAAATATTGTGTATTATAGTCTAATACTATTTAAATAGTAATACGAGAAACAACTGGTAAAATGGGTCAAAGGAAAACGTATGAGTAATATTATGTTTATTCTAATAGTAATCATTAAAATATGTTCCGTTATCTATCAAATAATATAATAGGCTTAGCTATGTTAATCTCTGGGGAAAATAAAAAAAATGAGTTTTACGTCCTAATTTCATGCACCTACATGGGCTATTGAAGGATATAAACGGCATGCAGTGGAATTGTAATATGTACAGCCCCGAAAATGGTTTGTAAGAAGGTTTTCTAAATCGTATATGTGTATGGGGGACACTAATAACATCAACTTCAGCCAGTCCCCCCCCCCCCCCTTTTCTATGAAATGAATGTGGATCTGATAAACTAAATTGATATGTGGTATTAACTGCTGAACTGCAGCTTTTCCAGAACAGTGACTGTCCGTCTCGAAGGGCGCAATCCTCAAAAGTAACCTAATTAATGCAGTAGAGCTGAAAATATAGTAGAAGGCCAAGTGTAAGCGTTATTTATTCAATAGTTCAATTCTTAAGTAGCTTAGAAGAGGCCAGGGTAGGGTGTATCTTTATCTACCCAAAGCACCACTCAGCATGCCAGTCTTGTCGGTTTGACAAAAAATATTGTTGACTAGTTTCATCTGTTACCTCCCTTTCTATATAAGAAAATCTTACAAAATCTATCATTTCTTACAGTGTATCGCAGAATAATACCGACGGATTTTGATAACAGACGGCTGTGAAAATACTTTGAAATGCCACTATATTTTGATGTGCCAAAAATTCATAATGTCAAGATGTAATAATCGACCTCGCCAATGTAAATGAAAAGCAATATAGTGCATAAACCCTGGATATCTAACGGTCTGGGGCAGGCTGTCAGTTATATTTCAGTCATGTCAATATGTGATAATAATTAGGTCTGATATGATCGGCTTGTATTCTATTTGTCCTATAACAGAAATGATAGTAATCCATGTTTATAACCTAGTAAGCTTGTTCTTGAGACATTTATCCTCATAAATCGAGGCTAGTTGGCTAAAATTAATCGGTACCAGGCAAAATCGGCTTTATGGAGATAACTTTCTTTATAATTTCCGTACTGCAGGACTCTACGGTGGTGTTAAAAAGAACAATTGTCCTGAAGGAGACAAGACACTCTATTTGTCAGAGAAGCATGGTCCAAAAAGCCATAAAATCGTGGAATATGTATCCTTTAACCATTTAAACCAGGTTTTTTTTCAATTAAGTAACTAAATCTCGACTTTTTATGTTAAGAATTGCTAAAAACTCCTTGGAGCTTACACATTCCGTTGTGGCGTTGGGCCCTGAAACCTCTGAAGCTGAAGTGTTTTTGTGGCTATAAATGACTGAAAAGGTCGTCGTAGGCCACAGCAAGCTACTGAATTAATGGTTTAGCCTTATTTGTTGATATTCATAAACTAATTATTCAATTTCTGGTTGATTCGACCCAGTGAAGTCAAATTTAGGTGCAAAGAATTTGTTACTTTGAGGATATTTTTCCAGTTCCACAAAATGTCCTCACAAATGGAGGAAAGATAATTTTACCTCCTAAATCCCTACCACCTATACAAAATGTTCCAATTCAGCCTGATAGAACAGATCGTCCATGTAGACTCGACGTTTGATTTGTACCTCTGTCCAGTTTTTAGACATGACCTTTGCGATCATTCAGTATTAGTTTGTTCTAATCCAAAATGCTACACCAAGACCACAAAAATGTATTGGACTGCTCTGTCCATGGTAATATACGGAAGAAGAGTAAACTACAATTTTAGTAGGAACTATTACAATGAAAATTTGATATTCTTTACATTTAAAATAGGATATTCTTCATATTTCAAAAGCTTATTGGAATACCAAATTTTCTAGGTCACTTGGCTAAATGACGTGTAATTGTGACCTATATATTAGCAGCAGATGTGAAATAAAGACATAAAAGCCCGGGAATATTGATTTCCACAGATCGACCTAATAGTTATTCAGGGCGGAACAGATATTTTTCTTAATAGCTGTTTGCTTTGTGTTGTACTTTTATCATTGAAAACGTATAGCGTCAAAAGATTTCAGTCGAAATTTTCATTACTAGTAGTTTCAGTAATATTCAAAAAGGAAAAAAAACAATCCATCAAAAGTCGGGTATCCTCATACAAAAGTATGTCGTTATGATAACTGACTGAATCTTTGGCACTCAGCCAAAATTAAATGAATTTATACAATGTAGTAAATGTAGGTTTTGTCGGAAGGAAAATGTTCCGGGTTGCGCAATTCCACGCCTAGTGTAGAGCTATGTCCAATCAGTAGCAAATGTCGTTTGAAAATTAAAAATATCCCCATTTACACTCAACACATTAAAA